GTGTGGTCCTGTGTTTTGTTGGTGTATATTTAATATACTTCTAATCGCTATTTCAATCTTTCTAATTACTTCTCTCTATTTTCTCTTCACTTAAAAAAAGTCACTGATGATGAAGAAATAAATAAACTAAATAAACTAATATTTGGTTTCGTTTTCTACTGAAGTGACAAAAAAAATGACTTATTTTGTTGACTTATTTTCCTTATCTGGACTTTCGTAGGTGGTTGGTAATACTGCACTGGTTCATGTTGGTCTGCACCTACATCAGAGGTTGTGCAACATTCACATTTTGTTTCATTCATATTTATTTTTAGCCCAACACACTAAGAAACAGACGTTTCATTATTGTCTTTAAAGTTTCCTTTTTTACTCCTCACTATCAGATGACTCTTTAGTCCATAATTGTGTCACAAGATGAACATTTTAGGTCTACAATTTTCACCATGGGGTATCATGATACCAGTTTTTCCTCAAACCGAGTAAAAGTACCTCAGTTTTAGTACTCGCCGATAACAAGTACTTATAGAACTTAAACATTACACAATGACTTTAAGTCACTTTTTATTATTTAGAAAAAAGTGTCTCTCAATACTGGTATTGGTATCGGTCCCAAATATCGGGACATTTTGTACAAATACTGTACTAGAGGTTTATAAAATACTAGGAAAAAAATAGCTAAGAAAAGGAAAAGTACACTCACAGAAMATTAGTTTGGTAAAAGTGAAACTTACTGATAAGAAAAGTATTTAAGTAAAAGTCATAAAACCGCTCACAAAAATTGGGAAAGTAAAAGTACTTTTACACACACTATAAGAAATGAAGTGTTGAATTTACTTTATTAAACCACTTCCACTAAACCAAGTTGAGTACATGGTTTTTGTTAAAGAGAATATGTAAATTGTTTTACATTTACTAAAGTAAGCTTGGTGGAACCATTTGATATAACTTGGTTAAGTAAATTCAACACCTCATTTTTTAGAGGGCACAAACAACTCTTTTCATGAAGAGTTCTCATCATTTTTAAATTTGTAATCAGGTGTAACTATAACAAGGTGTTAAATATTAAAGTAAAGACGTAAAATGTATCATTTTTATGTTTTGAATATAATAAAAAAAGTAAAAGTTACGATTAAAAAAACTTGGTAAAATTACAAATTAAGTACTGTAAAGAAATAAATGTACTTAGTTACTATAAACCTCTGATGAGTACTTGTAAAATTGCTCAGGCCTGTGTAGTGGTCACCTAGGGGTGGAGTAAACAGTTCCACCTGTCTTTGACCTTGGTCTCAGAAGGCCTCCCTCAGAACTCTGTTCAAGTTAAAGTCATATCAGGTTTTCTTAAACAGTAAAGAGACATTTTCTTCTTATTAATAAGATAATAAACAGAATAATCTTCTTTTATTCATAATTTTATCAATGTATAAAAAAGAAAACACAAAAAGAATGTTATTACAATGTTTAATTATAAGAAAGTGTAGTATAAATCACTACATATTGGTGGCCCGTAAGCTGTTTATTTGCACCTGATAACAATACCAGTATCGATATCGGGACACATGTGTTTATTTATTAAGTTTAATCTTGACTGTGTTGGATTGAAAGGGCATCATGGCCAGAACATGAGTGCAAAATTCTTTCACCCMACAAAGTAGTTCCTCCTAATAAACACTGTATATTGCTTTACCTTAGAGAGTAAGAAGCAAATGTTTCAAAGAAGCGTTATGCTCAAAAAGATGGCTTAAAAAGTCCCTTTTTTTCTTTCACATCTCTGTCTGGGCCTCATCGATGGGCCTCAACGCCTGAGCTCCAAACTGTGTCGATCAATATTAATTATAGTGCAAGTTGGGTTTTGTACTATAGGTCAGGGCTCCTCTCTATAAATCACCAGCTGAAAGGTGACCATCTGGGTCTTYATAGGTTCTCAGGTCAGGTCCATTCATGTTTTAATACCGTAACCTTCTGATCTAAGTGTGATTTATTTACTACCACTGATCTGGTAAAAACAGACCAGTGTAGAACAGGGGTCAGATTTTACTTTAAAGTTAAAATATATGTTTAGGTATTCGTAGTTTAAAGTTGTAATATGGTTGGACACCTTGAAACATTCTGTTAAAACCCCTAMAGTTTCTGTTAATTAGCTATTACTGGTGATTTAAAAAACTTTGCAAGGGCAAACTTAATGTGAAAACTGCTGCTTAAAAAGCTTTTATTTTGAAATGTGGAGCATCCAAATGCGAATGGTGTTAAAGTTCGAAGACTAAAATCCTCCACACCACTGCAGTGTCCTTTATGAGATGTAATTTGATTAACATAGGGGCTGAGACACTGCACAAATGACTCACATCTATGTTTGTTTTTGCTCAACCTCCCCCACTCGTTGGTTGATTGGGTGGGTGGG